TAAATGAGCTAAATGGCCCAGGAAACCTTCAGAGACAGCCGTCCCCACGTTCCAGAAGAAAGCAGCACGCTGCTTCCTAGGATGCACCGTGTAACCCCACAATCCACACAGCCTTCACTCACCCAGTTCCCATCACTCTGAAGCCCAGCTCCTGCTCAAAATTCTTCAAAGCACTTGCCACCAGGTGAAATGATCTTATTTTTGTTTACTTATTTTCTCTTTCTCTCCATAGCATTTTAAGCTTCAGAAAAACAAGGATCTAATCTGTCTTTATATTGCTATAGCCAGAGCCCAGATGGCTGTGTGCTCAATAAAAACTTATCAGATAACCACAACTACCCAGGTAATTCACTTTAAGGTCACCAAGTACACATCAGATCAAGTCAGTACCAATAAACCAGTAGGTTTGCTGTAATGGCAAATACACCCTGTTTCTGGGTGACAGTGATCGACCCAGCTTTTGTACCAGTTTGGGGCTGAAAGGCTTGACGAGGTTTGAAAATTTGGAAAACAGGTAATTTTCTATGTATTTTATGAAGAAATTATATGAAAGACACTGTAATAAAACCAATGTGACTTAAGGAGAAAATGCACAGTGGTGGATGACCCAGGAGCATGGAGAACAGGCACCTGTGCTCAGGGCCGGGTGCCTGCTCCTTGGCTTTCTTGCAGTTTTCCTATCTGAAAAGGATTACAGGATGATGTGCTTTTGCAGCTTCAGCAAAGATCAAAATTTTGACATAATCACTAATTATGTATGTTTTCCCCTATGACTTCTAAAGTACTTCATGACTATTAAGGAGATTTTGAGTTGTCAGGGTATCTGAATTTAAGGAGAGAAAAATTCCAGTTACAATTGCAAAGACTCAGGGAACAAGAAAAACATTTACCCACAAAACAACTGAGTACCAACTTCCAATTCAATATCCGAAGTACCAACTTTTTTATTAAGCTACAGCATCTTATTACACATCGAAAGTAAATTCCTCACTTTTACTTGTCTGTAAAATCTCTAAAAACAGTCCACTTTTCAAAGGGACAGTATTAAATAAAACACAATTTCAACTCAACACCATGATAAAATCTGGAATTGACAACTTATAAAGTTCTAAATCTATGGTAATTACTGAAAGCAAAAAAATTGCAATTTTTCAAATGAGTGTGATTTAAGCAATAGCTTGAAAGTGAAGACGCAGCCATATTACCAAGAACCATCAATCAGTAACGTCTTGGTAATTTTTATTTTACAATAAAGACATCACTGTATCCAGAGAAATAACAAGATCATAAGTAAAATATACTTATCGAGTCTAAAAGTTACTCTGCTCAACACTCAGGAACTTCAACTTAACAATGGTGAGATAAATCTGCGAACGTGTGGGCTGTCTTCCTCCTTTTATTTTTTATTACTATTTTTTTTTATCCTCACCCGAGGACATTTTTCCATTTTTTGTTCAGGTAGAGTGGGAGGGAGAGAGAGGAACAGAGAGAGAGAGAAACATCGACGTGAAAGGAACACATCGAGTGGCTGCCACCCACACAACCGACCAGGGCCGGGGACAAACTGCAACCGAGGTACATGCCCTTAGCGGGAACCGAACCCGGGTCTCTCAGGACCGCAGGCCGACGCTCTAACCGCTGAGCCAAACCGGCCAGGGCTGTCTTCCTCCTTTTAAAAGCTAGTATACTCTTTCATGAAACGGGCTAGGAAGGGATAGTGTTTTTTCCCCACCCACCACCACCTTACATACACACTCCTTTATTTTTATTTTCTGAAAGGCTTGGAGTACATGAGCATGGTGGGTAGGGAACAACTTTCCCAGCTGCAGTAGGTGACTCCTCCATGCTGGTGTTCAAGACTTAAAAGGACACCACATAACAGGCATAAAGAAACCACAGAATGAGCTGAAAATGCTCTAAACTGGTTTGTAGGGATGGTTGCACAACTCTTCAAAATCACTAAAAATCATTGAAGCATACACTTACAATTGGCAAATTTTACAGCATATAAATTACACCTCAATAACGCTATAAAGAAGCCCAGTAAGGGGTAGAGACACTACACAGAAATGATAATACATCCAAAATATAAGATCTCTACTTGCCCCTGAACCTCCAAGTAGTCTAGTCTGTTAAGTACTCCCCACCTTCTTCCCTTAACATGTCCTTAGGGGTGTCGACCGTCCTGTCCTTTCATCCTGCTCATTCTGCTCCAAAAGGAAGGAAGGATATACACTCTGAACCACTTTCCTGACCCCACCTGCAGAATTAAATGCATGTGATATAAATAGCAAGAGCAGTGAGGAGCTGGCAGGTAGTTGTGCAGAAACCAATTCTGTCCAGAAGACATAAAGGGAGGGAGGACTCCTTCTAACTGATCTGCAAACCAGACCTCTGGGACATCCCATAGCTTTTTGTACCTCTCTTAGGGCTTTTTTAACTTAGAGTATGATCATTCTGGTACATGTCTTACCAACCTTAAACCCCCTCTTCTTTAAAAATGTTCTTTGGATAAGTGGCAGTATTTTCCTAATCAAATTGAGGAGTATCAATTCTATCCTCAGAGGATAAATACAGTTCTGTGTCCTACCATTAATTCAAAGCTGACTCCTTTGGTTGACTGGTAAATGACATCAACGACGACAGTGATGACCTAACTCAAAAATGACCACTTGCTAGCCAACCAGCTGCTGTTCTAAAAGGAAACACTAGCTCAGAACAACAAAATCCAATTTCTATGCCATTCAACAGGTTAGAAAAACCCTTTTATTTTTTAAAAATTTTTCTAAAAATTACAAATTTTTGCCTATCACCCAGTGTCCAAAACCCAGCAACAAACTTTCTCTGCCACCGGTACAACGTCTGACTAAAACATCATGGCAAGGCAGAAAAGGTCAAATCTCTGAGGTACAGAGAAAACTACAAGAAAGGTCCAGGAAAAAATCATGCAGTAACGAGGACCAGAAAAATGAACCAATACAATGGACAGGACGAAAACCTAACCTTTCCACGAGAAGCACAAATATCACTTGCCTTCCAATTAGTGATGACTCTGAAATAGCTCTGAAACACCAAAGCACCGGCATGACCAAGACAAAACAAACTTCAGCTACATAGCAGTGTAAGGGCATCTATCATGAGCTGGTAAGATTTTAAGTCCTCGGCTCTCTGAAATCTGGGTTCAAGCCTACCCAACAAAAAAATTACACAAAGATCCTTAAAGATAGTAGGTGAGTATCCCCGTTCCTGAATAAAGTCTAAAATATTTTCATTAATAATTTAACATTTGCTTAAAAAGACAAATTTCATTGTCATCATCTGTGACTCTGAAAAAATTGTTTTTAAGTCAAAACCTTCCATGTGCTTCCACAAAGTTGATGAGTCAGGTTTCAACACATGTAGGACTGACATGCACCTCATTATGTGAGGTCACTGTTCCCAGCAGTACATCAGACGTAAACTTTTGAATCTGGTATACATTCTGTCCACCAGTAAAGTTCTCGAGTTCTCAGGAGTTTCCTAGTCACTTACTTGAACATCATCTACGGTAACACTCAAAGTAAAACCACAATAAAGAGGCCTGGCCTTTGAGGGATTCTACATGTAAAAAAAAAAAAAATGACTCATAAATAAAATACAATCGCTATCGTTTTAAATAACACATACATTTTTAGACTTTCATGCCATTGATGGAATTCCCTATTTTGGATAGCAAAACAAAATCTATTAAGCACACACTGTTTTTTCTTCAACTAAGTAAGTCTATTTTATGATAATACAAAAAATAGACACAAATTTCTTTGAAAACTACTTATGGTGAAATATCTTCACTTTGTATTTTTAGTCAAAGGTCTCATTACTTTCAGAGGTAGTGGAATTCACAGAACTCTTCCATCAGTAATTGGACCAATTCATCTCAGTTATATTCTTTAGGTTGCCCAATATCCTATTGACTCCCAGGTATAAATAAGGCAATGATATCCTAACAGACATATTCATTTAGTAAAAAACAATATCCAGTTAAAACTATGGAGTACTACTACACAGCCATACTGGAATGCCACCAACTCAAAAACAAATGAAACTTTTGGCCATCAAAGTCAAGTCTTCAAGGAGCCACCAGTTCACGCCTGTGTCACTTTCACACACATCTCCAAAGTCTACACATCATGTGTCATCAAGAATAACCTCAAACTCTAACATCAGTGAAACAAATTCAAGACATAAATCAAAAAGATCAGTGGAAAGCTCTACAAAACCAGCTCTGGCATTGTAGCCTCCGATCTAAGTGTTGAATCTGGAGTGCAACTCGTTTTGATACCAGCTGCAGTTTACTACCTTCAAAACGAAAACAAAAATTCTTCCAACATTCTTTCTCCATTATAATAAAGTTTTCAACGCAAACTTCCATCTAGTCACACAATTCATTTCACCATTTTGCAAAACCGCCTTCCCTCAGCATAAGCTAATCAGAAAAAACACACCAAACTGACAGTTCTGCCTTCCAAACTACGCACTTTCTTTATCAAGGCTCCACATGTATTTTCAAGGGCAAGAAAATAACACACATTTGCAGCTCAAGACAGGAAAAGCACAACCAGCGTTACTGTACAACCATCACTCAATTTCTCAAAGAGAAAAATAATTCAAAGCAGGCAAATTAAAAACATTCTGCACATGGCAAAAGTAAAAGATCTTCTGTCCTACAATCCATAGCAAAAGATTAGAAGCTAACACCAAGGAGCCAACAGATACAAGTAGAAAATAAATTCGGTATCTGTTTGAAGTAAGACAAAAACCTGAAAAACACTCCCTCCTATTGACCATTTATTCAACGTAAGGCTTTGCACCCAAAACGAAATACAACCCAAACCACACATCACCCACCCCACAAACGCAGAAGTCGTAATCAACAAGTTGGAAAACGGGCAGCACAACAGCTCACAACCCTCTCCCCCCCGGAGAAGTCCCCTAACACAGGTAACGCGGCTGCTTCGTACCTGGTGGAGGTGCCTTTCCTCACATCGCAGATGCTGCACTTGAAGGCTTCCGCGCTGTTCCTGAAGGTGCAGACGCTACAATCCCAAAAGCCTTCGTCCGCGGCAGGTTTCGCTTGTCGCTTCGGCCTAGGAGAGGGGCCGGGAGGAGGGAGACGGGAGGGAGACAGCAAATCACAGGCGCTGGTGAGCCGTCGTAATTTCGCAGGAATCCGGGGCTGGAAACTTCGCTCGGGCGACCACCCACCCACCCTTTTCCGGGACCAGAAGAGGCACCAGGGCCCCCCCGGCGCCCCGCAACCTCCAGGCCGCGTGGCCGCACAGGCGCGGCGCCCCCGGATCCGGCCGCGGCGCGCAGGAAGCGGCGGACTGTGGCCTCGAGCGTGCGGCCGGGGGCGGCGGGGAGCCGCGGCCGGGGCCGGGGGCGCGCAGGGCGCCCGAGGCGGCGGCGGCGCTGGGCCGGTCCCTTCCTCCCCGCCCAGGCTCGCGCCCGCCGCCTCCTCCCCACCTGGTTAAATCTCCCTTTGTCTGGGAGGAGCGGCGGCGGCGGAGGGCGGCCGAGGAGGAGCCGCCATGGCTGCGGCGCGCACGGCCGCCGGCCCGAGCGGAGCGACACCGCCTCCCGCCGCCGCCGCCCCCGCCCCCGGATCTCCATCTTAGCGGCGCCCCCCCGCCCGGGTGGCTCCGGGCCTAGTCGCCGCCGGCCCCCGCCCGCCCGCCCCCAGCCCGCCCTCCTTCCGCCCCCGGCTCGGAGCAGGTACCTGGTCGGGCTCTTCTTGTCGCCCATGGTCATGGATGGGCTGGACCGCCGCCCCTCCAACGCCGAAGCCGCGCCGCTCGGAGGAGAAACGCCGTCCGGGGAGTCGTCGCGGGCCGACCCCCCTCCCTCCCCCGCGCGCACCCGCCCTCAGCCGCCGGAGCTCGAGCTCCTGCCGCCGCCGCCGCCGCCAGTCTCCGGACGAGACTAGTCCCCGCCAGCGCCGCCTCCGCCGAGTGACTGACGAGGGGCAGGGCCGGGCGCCGCGCGTCACGCGCCGTGCGGCCAATAGGAGGGCGGCGGCCTGCGCCGTGGGGGCGGGGGCGGGGCGCGGGGGAGGGCGGGGCGTGGCGGGCGTGGGCGGGGCCGTCGGTGTGCGTGCCCCGGAGTGTGTGCACGCTGGTGGCGCGCGTGCCTGCTGGCGGCCCCGCGGCCCCGCGCGGCGGAGCGTGCGTGCCCGGCGGGGCGCACGTGGCCGCGCATGGGAGCCCGCGGTGGGCTCCCGACCCCGCACGGTCGCTTAGTGCGGCTGTCCTCGGGATCGCGGCCCCGAAGGCGCCGCGGGGAAGTAGTTCCGTGCAGTTGGCCACAGCCACACCACTAGCAGCGCCTCGAGGCTCGCTGTGCCACGGGACTCGACAGGGCCGCTCGGCCTGGGCTCGCCCGCGCCCTTCGGCTCCTCTGCCACGCACAGCTTTGTATGTGCTGCTCCTGAAGTCCCCGCCGCCAGCCCGTACTCCAGCCCCCAGGTCCATCCCAGGCCCGGACGCCGCCGCGGGGAACTGTGCAGAAAGGGTGTGGCACAAATAAGGTTCCCCCGGGCTGGACGCTGAGCTCCACCGACTCCCTCGGTAGCCCGCCCAGAACCTAAATAGGGCGTTTCCCTAGGGAAGTAGCTGTAGGAATCCTGGCAGCCACGTGCCAGTAGTCAAACCTTGGGCCTCAGCGCCTTCGGCTACCAAATGAGGCTAATACCCCACCTCCTAGAATCGTTTGGAAAATCCAGAGACATATGCAAGAAAGCACGCAGGTGGGTGCCTGACACTTAGGAAGGACCAATACAAAATACTGGGTTGAAAACTGCCATAACGACCTGGGCTGTGCAGCTTTCCCCCACAGTAGAAGATTCTTGAAGACGAGGAACAGGCGCATGCTTTGCTTTCTGCCCTGCTCTAAGATTACCTGCCAAATTGACTTGAACGTGACTCAGACCCCTCTGCCCGCTGCCACTGGGTAGTCCTGGTTGGGGGAGGACCCCATATGATAAGATAAAAGGCTTGGAATAGGCTGAAGCCCTGGGGGGGGGGGGACAGGGTCACAGAATGTTGCTAGAGGTTGGGGGGTGGGGAGACGGGTGTAGAGGAAAGAGATAAGACTGTTCCTCAGCATCCACTGTGTTAGGCCCTATTTATATACGAACACAAAGTGGGTTATTATCAGGACTGCTCCACGGAAGGAAAGCATACTGAAACTGAGTGCCCAGGGAGCAGGAAGTCCTACGATTAGTACAGGGATCAGAAGCCACAGAATGAAAGAGGGAAGGAATGTGTCAACTCTAAGCTTGACCAGCACATGCTGTCCTTTCTAGGCAGGCACACCCTAGAGGGCCAGGAGGGACAGCACTGTTCAACAAGGGTCAGTAACACTCCCCCCACAACCCCACCCCCGCCTTCTCAGAAAGGGAGAGAGGAAAGGAGGAAGAGGATAAGGGAGGAGTGGGGCGGAGGGCCAAAGGGGACAGAGAGAGCCAAGGAGCATGCACACAAGCTGTGGCCCAGTGCCCACAGCCTTAGCCTCTGGTGTCTGCCTGGCACGTGTCCAGGACTCCACCCCTGGTATGAAGGTACTGAGAGAACAGGAGTGGTAAAAAATCCCAGCTGGAGGAGTGGCCTCTGGGGAGGGGAACAGTGTAGCTGGGAGCCACAGGTAAAGAGAAAGAGACTGACTTCGTTATTATTAGGTATGTAGAGTAAAATGCACAAACCATTTTTAAGTTCTGTGAATATTTTTTTAATTAAAGTGGTTTTTTTCCTTTATTGATTTTAGAGAGAAAGGAAAGAAGAGGGAGATAGAAACATGGATGACAGAGAACATTGATTGGCCACTTTCTGCATGCTCCCCACTGGGGATCTGGCCCACAATTTGGGCATGTGGCCTGAGTGAATTTTAGTATGTATCTACTAAACTTTTGTATCCACCATCCAGATCAAGATATGGAACATTTCATCCTTTCATCCCCTCTCCACAGGTAACCACTATTTCAACTTCTGTTACCAAAGACTAGCATTGCCTGTTTGCAAATGTCATATACATGTTGTTGTGATATGACAGAGTCAAAGAAAGACCACTAGAGAATTCAAGTCCAAATAAGAGCTATTTATTAGCCAGCCGGTGTCTGATTCCGAACATCCATGTGACAGAGTCTTCGGAGATCAGCCTCGATATGATTTATTACATGCCTTTTATACATTACAGCAAAAGTTTAATGAAATAAGAAAATAGGATCTTCTTGATATAATGCCCAGGGCTATAACAATGCTGTATAGAATTAGTTTGCCTTGCGGATAATAGGAACACCCAGGTATTTCAAGGTACATTGGGTCACACTTAGCCCCAAGCTGCACAAATACAATGCAAGCCTAATTCCTTGAGATTGTGGGGGAGGTCGAGTCTCTGACTCAAGACCTCCAGGCTTCATGAACTCTGTCAGACACGTAGCCGGCTCCCAACAATTTCTTGGTTCAGGGAGTATTCCAAAATTCTTTACAAAACAGGTTCAGCTAGAGGGCACATGGTGACTTTCCCAATCATCAATTATGGAGCTATAAACAAGTCAGTACAATAATTTACCAATCATCAATTATGGGGTTATGAACATGTCAGCACATTGGGTCATATGGTATACGTATAAATAAAGAATCCTACTTCGTGGAAATTCATTTATCGCGGTAGAGTCTGGAACTGATTAACCATGATAAACGAGGACTGACTGTATACTCATATGTATGACACCTTTTTCTCAACATAATTGTGATGTTCACCCATATTGTTGCCTATGTCAGTGGTTCACTTTTGTTTATTTGCTTAAGGGTGTAGAATTCCATTGCAAACACAAGGTAATTTAGTCACCCATAGGAGACTGACTGTTTCAGTGTTGTTGTTTTTTTAATCTTTGACCTGTTTTACCTTTTCAGAACGAAGACATAGTTTTAAACATGTTTTTAAGATAAAAAGAAGTTCCAGTATAGAGAAATAATTTCTAGGAACACATCAGACCCACATATCGCCATGTGGTTGTAACTGGAGAAGCTCTGATTTCGTTCACATGTTGGAGGTAAATCATCTACTGAAAGTCTCCTTGTAGTGACAGAAGACAGACAAGACTGCTTCTGAAGCTGTGTGTTGTAGAGTAGCTAGTCTCTAGCAGAGAAGCCACTGAGATTCTAGAGCCACAGTTTCAACCTGAGCTGGGTGGGGGACGAACCTTCTACAGTGTTGCTTGAACCGTCCTTGGTGTGAAGAGAGGAGTGGGAGAGCCCTTTCCTGCTCCTCTATTTCCTGTCTGAACTTCTATTTCATGTTTCATTTAAGGAAAGGGTTCTGCTGCTTTAAACATTATTTAAAACCCTTGGTTTTCAAACAGATGCTGGTTAGAAGTGCTCCCCAGGAAGTATCTCGTGTAGATGATTCCACTGATGCATAGCACAGATTAAAAGACCACATTCTGCCTCCAGGTCTTTGACTTCAGTCACACTGGCTTCTTTGCTGTTCTTGGAACAGTCACCCTCTTACCTCAGGGCCTTTGCACTTGCTGTTCTGTGTGCCTGAAATGCTCTTTCCCGAGATAACCACGTTTTCATCTCTTACTTCTTTCAGGTCTTTGTTCAAAAGTCAAATTTTCAGTGAGGTATTCCCTGGTCTGAAAATATCATACATCAGCCCATAGCCTGATGCCTTGTGCCCCTCATGGCATCGCTTTACTTTTTTCTCCTTATCACCATCTGACATACCATGCAGTTTACTTATCTTGTTCAGAAGATCTTGCCCCAACAGAATATAAGTTCCATAATGGCAAGAATGTTTTTCTCTTTTTTAACAAGGTACATTTTAACAATAGCAAGTTATTGAGAAGCACCCAGGTGCCGTGCCTCATTTCAGGGACTAGAAGATCAGATACACAAGACAGACTTGATTCCTAATCTTTCAGAGTTCATGTTCTAGTTGAGAAGCCAAACTTCATACAATTAATTATGATTGTGACCACAGCTACAAAGCCAAAGTACAAGATGCCAGGCAAGAGGGTAGTAGGGAGGAGAGGGGTCCCTGATAAAGTTGAGATTGCCTAGGAAAAGAGAAGGGAAGATTGTTTCGGGATATGGTGCTTTGGAGAAGCTGAAGGCAGGCAGCTGTGGCGGGAGCCCCGAGGAAGAGGAGAGGGAAGGCTGCAGAGACAGGCTCTGGCTGGATCTGTAGGGCGAGGCATGCTGAGCTGGGGATGGAGTCTTTGTCCTGAGTGCATGGAAGCCATGGTGGACTAAGAAACATCCTGTAGAGAATTTTTATGAGTTTATTTGAACCCAAAGTGACAACAATTGCTGGAAGCAAGATCTCAAATACTCTGGAGAATAACAGTGTGCAGTTTCTTTGATGCATTTGGAATTCGGGAGGGAACAGGAATAGTACATGGAGAAGAAAGCAAGCAAGTGGAGGTTGGACTACAGGCTAGTTAGAATCGGGTGCTCTCTGAGGAGTCTTATCTCTGGCATTTCAAAGGTGTGTTGACCTAGATGCTTATTATGGACAGGCCCTGCCGGTAATGTTCAGGGGTTGAGCGTCAACCCTGCACCAAGAGATTGCCGGTTCGATTCCCGGTCAGGGCACATGCCCAGGTTGTGGGCCCAGTTTCCAATGGGGGGCATGCAGGAGGTGGCCAGTTGATGTTCTCTCTCGTCGATGCCCTCTCCCTTCCTCTCTCTCTAAAATCAATAAAGAAAAAAAATTTTAATCAATAAAGAAAAAAAAAATTCCTTTTAAAGAACAATGGTCCTTGCCCTGGCCGGTTTGGCTCAGCTGTTAGAGCATCGGCCTTCGGTCTCAAGAGACCCGGGTTCGGTCCCCCCTAAGGGTATGTACCTCGGTTGCAGTTTGTCCCCGGCCCTGGTTGGGTTGTGTGGGTGGCAACC